TGGAGATGCAGAGAGAGAGAGAATGAGAGAGATGGAGATGCAGAGAGAGAGAGAGAGGCAGAGACAGAGAGAGGCAGAGACAGAGACGACAGAGATACAAAGAGAGAATGAGAGAGTTGGAGATGCAGAGAAAGAGACAGAGAGAAGGAGAAGAATCGAGATGCAGAGAGAGAGAGAGAGGCAGACAAGGAATAAGATAGATGGAATAAGATAGAGAGGGAAACTCTAAGGTAGAGACAGTGTGTGAGACAGAGAAGCAAAATAAGCACAGAAGAGACAGAGAGAGATGGAGAGAGATAGAATGAGAAAGAGAGACAGAAATAGAGACAGATGCAGAGAACTTGTCAGAGAGAGAATAAAGCTGACAGCAAACAAAGACAGACAGAAAGAGAGAGCCAGAGTTCACGAGAAAGGAAGGTACAGAGACAGAGAGAGAGAGAAAAGGAGAAAGAGAGAGGGAGACACAGGGAGAGAGTGTAAAAGACACAGAGGCAGTGAGACAGAGAGAGAGGGAGAAAGCGAGAGATGCATTTTGTCTGGGAGATGATTGCTGCACTCTGTCACACACAGTTCCTGCTACTCACTGTCTGTCTGAAAATGGGATCGGGGCGGGGAGAGGAGTCCCACAAACCAGTCTTTAACCTTTCAGCAGTTTATCCCACAGACACAGACTCCACTCGAGATGACCAACCAACTGCGCCATCAGTGACAGGCCGTGAGGGGGAGACCGCGACCCTCACCTGTGACCTCTCCCTCAGCAAAGACCATCAGACAACACAAGTCATTGAATGGCTCCACGAAGGCCTGGTGCTGCCCATATTCATCAAGTTCGGAGTTCACCCCCCACGCATTGACGCAGCCTACCTGGGTAAGAGAGAGAGGGCTGGGGGACTGAGAGACACCAGTCAGTGTACAGATACCTCCCTGAGAGAGAGGGACTGAGAGACACCAGTCAGTGTACAGATATCTCCCTGAGAGAGAGAGGGGACTGAGAGACACCAGTCAGTGTACAGATATCTCCTTGAGAGAGAGAGAGGGGACTGAGAGACACCAGTCAGTGTACAGATACTTGAAGAGAGGAACTTTGACTGATTGAGATGTGACACTGCAGTGTGCTGAGTTCCACAGGCAACTGTTCTTCTGCCGAAGTTGAAGAGTTCAGCAATATTACACAAGCTGCATTCCTGCCTGTATTGTTTGTCGCTCTGCTGGGGAACTCGGTCTCGAAACATGGTCCTTAAATCCTTCCAGACAATGAGCTGCATTGAGATTGGGAACAATGGTGAACCAACATTAATCACAGCCTCTCCATTTCACACCCCGCCCCCCCCACCCCGTTTATTGATAAGCCTCTCCCTCGCTCTGTCTTTCTCCCTCCACCTTTAAACCCAATGCTCACCCTCCTTAAACACAGTGCGGAGAAACACTCCCTCTTTAAACAGGGTCCCTGAAAGAGAGAGAGAGACTCCCTC